TTATTTTCCGTTTCCCATTCATTTTGAATTGCCCTTAAGGGGCTATATTGTAGGTAAAATAGTTTTAGTTAAATATGGTGGATTTCGAAAAACACAACAACAATAAAATATAATAGACGAAATTTTTATTTGCAGCATACAATGAGATTTGTCTAAATGCAAGTAAAACAATTATAGTGAGACTAGGCCGGCCAATAAACACTTCACTTGCGACGTTCGGCTTTTATCATTCATTTATTTTCCTAATTAAATACGAAAAATTATGTTTTACTTGGAAACGACAGGAAAGCATAGCCTGCGGTGTCAGAAAATTTTATCTTCGAAAAATTTATCTCTCGTGTCAATGATCTTTTCAATTTTTCCCCTATTTACGTCATAGCGTACTAAAAATTCGACTTCATTAGCACATAAAAGCTAAAAGCCTTTCCTGAGAATCTCTTTTTAATGTCTGGTCTAGTGTTCAGCAGATTCGGCCATCAGTCGCAAGATTGACGTTCGGTTCCTACTTCGGTAGTCCGTAACTTGTACTTTACTCCTTATGATGCCCTCACAAACCTGGTAGACGTCAAATTCTATGTCAAATCACCGAAAAATATTAAAAATTTAACTTTTTTGCCATAGAAAGGTTTACCTCTCGTAAGAGAGATTCTATGGGAGGTAGTGCAAAGAACTTGTCCGTCCAGTGCCAGTTTTCCGTACCTCATTATCATTGAGCGAGCGTTGTTGGGAAATTTTCGAAACCGCAATAGATTTTCATATGACGACTTTTCGAAAACGGACATTATAGGGACAGCGGTCGTAAACCTGATTCAATCCAAACTATTTTCATATCGGCTCAGTATTAAGCCAAAAAACAGCAGCGTAGTGAATTTTAGTAAAATATCTTGAACTTGACGATCTGTACATTGGATGGGAACATGGACAAACACCAGACGGTCGACAAGGCAGGCAAGCTTAAATTGATTCAGAAAGTGATTTTGACTCGGTCAGTATAGTAAAAAGTCAAAGCTATCATAGCGACACAATCAATAGATCGGCATACACGCCGATGGATTCATTTACTTAATCTATACATAAATGATTTCCCGTCGGTGATTAAATCCAGCCAGATCTTAATGTTCGCTGGCGATGTTAAACTGTTTTCTTCCTTCTCCTTGGAATCGCAATTGTATCATCTTCAAACTGACTTAAATAATTTGGTTACACGGTGGTCGCTGAATTTGATGAAATCAAATCTAAAAAAAAAAAGGGCAAAAAGCTTTCCTTCTTACGAAAGAAGTCATTCAGTACTCGGGTGTTTGTTGACTCGCACAAGTTGGAAAACGTTGATTCGTTCATCGACTTGGGGGTTTTATTTACGTTTTAATTTGCACATTAAGCTCTCCTTAAGTAAAGCTAGGTTCCCGCTTGGTTTCATTAATGGGTGGTTCAAACACCTGAAGAATCCCTACCTTACAAAAAAGCTATACATGTGTCTAGTTAGACCAATACTTGAGTATGCCTCGTACGCCTCGGTTGTGTGCTCTCCCTCCTATAGGTGTTATGTAGATTCAACTGAATCAGTTCAAAAGCAATTCTTGTTGTTTCTCCTTAGGCATTTCAGTTGGAGCCCGCTTATCCCTTGGCCGCCTTATGAAAATACATTGATTCTGATGACGGCGTTATCGTCACCTGAGAAACGTAGACTTATTCGTGATGTCCCCTTCTTAATTAATTCAATTGATGGTACTATCGATTCGTCCACATTGCTGGGTGAGGTAAGCTTTAATGTCGCTAACTGCTCCTCTATGCACTTTATGTGCATTAAGCTGAGTCAGTGTAAATATAATTACGAGCCGCTTAACCCGTTTAGAGTTGTTTGCAGAAACCTATCATTTAATCCCAATATCGGATTCTATAAAGTCTTTTAAAACAATTTCGCTTAATACGCGCGATTTGCCTATGCCGTATTTAAACTAACTTTTAACCTTAATTCCATGGTTCGAAAATTAGTTGGCGTTGTTTACTGTATCGGTTGCCAAGCTTTTGCATGTTTGCTTGTTAGTTTAGGGGTTCACTTGCCAATTGGTTCTGTACTTGGTTGTGGATGTCCCTCTGTGCTAGTTATGTATATAATTTTTTTTTTTTTTTTTTTTTTATCGGTTTATACGTGAATTATTATCCAATATTTTTTTTTGTTTTCCTTATGTACTTTATGCTAGTTTTTAATATTAAATAGTATAAGACTTACTTGTAAGAGTCAATTGAATTCAAAGGTTTGGTTTGTTGTTTGAATCGAATTTTGTGTGTAAGTAAAATAAAATAAATAAATGAATACGAAAAGAAAGCTACATTAACTGGTTTAAGCAGTGTTTATAACTCATAGGAAAGACACCACATAACGCATTGTAGGCGTTATGAACACTCTTAATCAACGTAAAAACGACATCGCTACACAGCTTTAATCCTTTGTATTGTTCTTTATTGAAATCACGTTTGCATTTTTGGAAAATAAAATAAAATTGAAAATTTTCCCTTAATACAGTCAATAATTAAAATATGAAAACTTTTCAGATCGATTTAAGAATTTATTGAAATTTGCGGACATAGGTCGCATGGTATACAAATTATTTTGCAATACATTTCCGAAACTCTTTACAAATATAATTTCAAGCGACTTACAGCATTCTAAACTGCGAACAATTAAATCTTCGGTACGTGCTAAGAGATCAACGAAATAGTTCGTGGCGCTTTTTATCAAAGATTCAAGAACAATTTTCAGGCATTTCTGGTTTGTTTTTTTTTTTTTTTTTTTTTTTTAACCAAAAACAAAAAATATTTAATAAAAATTTTGCTGATAAAATATTTAAGGCATCCTTGGACAACCTTTTATGGTTTAGAATAGGTCTGATTAACTCTAAATGTTTTCACGAATATCAAACATGCTTCCTTGCGTTATTAAATTACAAAAAAAAAAGAAAGAAAGAAAAGAAAAGAAAAGAAAACCGAAAAATAGAAAATTATTTATTCAAGACTTCTCCTTGAGAAAATTTGATCAAAACTAAATGTATATATTTTTCTTCTATTCTTGAAACTATTACAAATGGCTATTAAATCGACGCATTAGCATAGACTATTCTTTAATATCAATCCTACATCTTCGTATAATAGATATGAAAAAGAAAAAGAAGAAGAAGAAGAAGAAAAAAAAAATTATATAAAATTGAAATTTTTAGAAATTGAAAAGTTTGCGTTTGTGTTTCCTATTAAGGCGAATGCGTATCTCTGACGCTCTCAAAGTAGATTCGTTTGGCAGCTCTCTTTCAGTTGAACGTGCAAATTGAAGGGACAGCGAGCATAAGTCTAATTGAATATGAGAAACTTAAATAGCGTAATAAAAGATCGTAGTCGTAATATGTAACTGTAACAGTTCATCAAATATTTAACATAACTGTAACTGTTTTGTAAAAAGAGCCGTCAGTTCAACTTTCGCGCACGCTTTATAAACAAGAACCCTTTGAATATGCTACAAAAAAACATTTATTTTAAAATAATTGATTTATGTTTTTAAGTGTATGCACAAAAATTTTGTCAAGCACTCTCCGACTTCCTCGACATGGAAGACACACTTAGATAGTTTGAAAATGTAAACATTGAAAACTTCAATATACGGCTCACTAATCAAGTCGCTGCTGTCTCTTCAAGTATCCTGAAAGTTATACATACAAATACATAATAAATAAAACGAACGACTACTTTGCAAATAGTTTTTCAGACACAACCACAACTTTTGCAGTTAGTTGTTAGTTCATTTTTTCTTATATATGTATATGTATATGTATATGTATATATATATATATTTTTATTTTATTTTATTTTATCTTTTTTTTTTTAAATACTTTCAGTTTTCTAGTTAGCTGTCTCTATGGCCCGTTCACTTGGTTTAGGTTCTTTCCCTTTATAGCACACACACACACACACTTGGAGAAAAAAGCTCTTTTCTGCTTGGTTGCCTGACTGTTTAAGAGGAAACCGTAAGAATAACTTTTAAGCGCATATATATATGAGTACAAAGATATTTAAATACACGTATAAGAACACTGATACATACGTACACATCTATGCATATACATATATATACATATATATATCTATAGAGGGGGAGAGAGAGAGAGAGAGAGAGAGAGCGAGCGAGAGCGAGCGAGAGAGGAAGAAATAAAGGAAAGGAAAAATAGAAAGCGAGATAGAGAGAGAGAGAGAGAGAGAGAGAGAAAGAGAGAGAGAGAGAGAGAGTAGTCTCAGTAAATATGGCTTACTTGTGGTAAATTGGTGCAGAGTTTCTTTCTTATATAGAGTTTTCTTTCTTGTTAGTTACACAGCGATAGCGATGAGGTTGTAGCAACTTTCTTAAATGCAGAATTTGAGCCTATTCAACTGGAAGATAAGTTCGGCTGTAACTTTGCCTTTCTTTAGGTTCTCTACTTTTTACTTATTTCTATTTTTTTCTGTCGATAAGTGTTCTCATCATTACAGACAAAACTCCCTTCTCTCTCTCTTGTCATTTCTTCTCTCCTATCTGGGTCTACTAACAAGTATCGCCGTAGTCATAGTCGTCGTCGGCATCGTCATCAACATCATCATTAACAAGGAGAAAACTATTAAAAGTTGTTGTACCAAGTTAAGTGGTAATAGCTTGGACGTGGATTATGCACAAACTCATAAGCGCAATTTAGTTGCATATATATAACTTTCTGTTTCCCTCAATGTATTTTAATTTCTTTTTATTTGTATTTCTCTTTTTCCTTTTTACCTATTTATTGTTTCCCTTTTTTTTTTCAATCTTTCTCTTCTTATCATTACTTTTTTTTTTCTTTACTACATCTATAAATCCATAATTTATACACGCACTTGTGTCAGTTGTTTATGATAAATTGAAAATTAATTCTTGTCATAGCGTGATGTGTTATTATTGTTTATTTATTTATTTATATATATATATATTTTTTTTTCTTTTATTGCAGGTTTATATTGTTGGCCACATACCACCGGGTTCCGATGAACGCCACATTGGTTTACAACAAAATGGCCACACAACGTTCACCGAAAGTAACAATAAACGTTATCTGGAATTGGTACGAAAATATTCATCAATAATTCAGGGTCAATTCTTTGGTCATTTACATTCGGATTCGTTTCGCATCATATACGATGATAAAGGTAAACATATAGATAGATAGATAGATAGATAGATATATAGATCGATAGATGAATTGATGTAAAAATACATCAGTTTGTAGGTTAAAGTTCAATTTAAATTCTTAAACAAAAATAACTTACTTGCATTCAGCAGATAAATTGAATTGTCGAAAATACATATACGAATATATATATATATATATATATATATATATTGGAAAAAGAAACTTGAACCAAACACTAAGCTGTGCTCTCTTTTTTTCCGTTTATTATTTTTATTAAATTTTTTATTTGGTTCTCGGTTTGAGTTTCTCCAAAATATCAGAATATAAATTCAATTCAATTTTCGACATCAATTTGATTGTATGCAGCCATCACACGTTACATTGAATACGAATGATTACCATTTTCATGAAAGAAAACCTCAATTTAGTTGGATTACATATGTATGCATGTACGTAAAACAGCACTTGCATATATAATGCCGTTTATGTTGGTATTTATTTGTAATTCAATGTATATGCGCGTATGTGCGTACATCAGACTGCGTGCGTGTTTGTAAAGAGCATACATTAGTTTAAATGGCATATTCAGGCCTTAGGTCATGAGATTTGCAATACCCTTTGCCAACGTGCAAACATGTCTAAATGCGTATTTATATATATGTATATATATGTATGTATGTATATATATATATGTATATATATATATATATATATATATATAGTCACACAAACAGAATATATATAGATTTATAGGTTTTCTGCGTCTGTTTGTATGCATAACTAAATAAAATTTTTTGGTTGAGATATATATTTATATATACGTATACTTATGTAACGTTGCCTCTGTTCGTAGATATATCTATTGAAAATTAAACTATCTCAGGTGTACATTTTTGGTCTTCTTCTTTTTCCCTTTTTTCACTTATCTAATTAACATAAACAAGACAAGCTTGTGCAATGTAATGACTTCAGGTCATATGTATACGAATAGCACTATATATATTTATGTATACATATGCACATATATATCCGAATGTCTAAGTCCATGCGAGTACGCATAAGGCGCAAACAAATAATCTTCTTTCTTATAAAGAAACGCATACTGATGTGTATATATATATAAATACTAATACATATATATATATATATATATATATATATATATATATATATATACATTAATGATTCCGGCCGCATAACAAGTATAGACACAGCTTTTCATTGCAATCAGATTGTAACATTAGTTTCCTAACAAATTATTCAATGGGGCAGAACGTAATAAAACAACCCAAGCACATATACAATAAAATCGACCCTCGGTCTAATGTGATCTGATTTACATATGGTTACGCATGCATATGAAAATCTTTTCTATATATGTATAGAGAATGTGTGCATATCGCACATCCATATAAATACGCATTCACAAATAATATGCATACATGTGTATTTGTATATACACATATAATGAGAAAAAAGTTCATGGCGTTTATGACCATTTTTCAAAATCTTTTGTTTTTTTTTTTTTTTTTATATTGTAAATGAAATTTATTCAGTCACTTTGATACGTAACCTGACACGATTTTTCTGTTAAAACCGTTGTGTTATTTCTGTGCTTCTGGACGAAAGACTGAGCTTAGATGATCGTCAGGCAGTATAAGGTCCGGGTTATACGGCGATTGCATCCAAGGCCATAAACTCTTTAATTTTCCTGAGTCAAACAATTTATGGTATACGACGTCTTTCCCAGTTATCGATTCTACATGTCTTCCATTAGTTGCGTGTTTCATTTTTATTAGTTGTGGTAAGCAGAGACGAGAGACCGTCTTGGTCGGCAAGTTTCATCACATTAGTCGAAGTGATGTTCTAAAATACGGAGAATGTTCTCCGAATATTGAATCACTTTCTGTACCTGGCTGACTGTCATTTTTGATGTGAGCTAAAGTGCGCCCAAAGAAGGTTAGGATTGTTGGAGTTATACAGCCACCTCTGAGGCCATCTACTGACATAACTGCCAGGAATTTTTTTCTTTGACTTATAAGCATTTGTGTAAGCATAGACCACAAAGTGTCTATTTTGTTGGCCTAGAGTTGGCCGGCATAGCCGTCGCGTTTATTCGATTTTCAAACTTGTTGTAATAGATTCAATGAATTTTTATGCCAGTTATTAATTTAACTCAATACGACAGTTACTGGATCCCCTGACTTACTGACTCTATTCTACGCTTACTAGTAGGATTCTCGATATATATAAACTACTAAACTAAATTATACTAATTGGTTTCATCTTTCAATATTGATTTGTTATTTTGTTCTATTCACCGTTGGCTTATTGGATGGTTCAGTATTTTTACAATCATTTATTAATCATTGATATGTAACGTCTATATAAACTTTTGCGAAAATTCCATGAATATGTTATATCAAAAATTTTGTAAAAAATTCGTATGAAAAGGATGAAGTGAGATATACTTTTATGGACCGTTTCGGAAAATTATGCTTGGAGAAAAATGGGTTTAAAGTCATGTCAAGTGAAAAATGCGTCGTTTCAACATTTTTTTAACCATTACTTTGCTACACTAGAATGAGAGGAGTGCCCCTTCTTCCTCATTCTCTTTCCTCGAAATTTTTTAAGATAGTTGGTCATAGTTGATACGTTTAGTCTATGATTAGATGCCGATGTTCATCTGCAAGACTTTTATAATTCGTAAGACATGAGCCCGAGAAACCTTAAAATTGCACAAAAACGATAGCTTTCGCTATACTTCATGCTTTCCCTCTTGGCGCTTGATTAAAAGTTCCTGTATATGCAGCTAAATTAAAGTATCTTTGTTTCAAAATGCCTTCATAAATGAACGTAAATACATTCTCACCTCTCTATCCATGGATAACAGAACCTTAATTTGCAGCTTGCCAGCATAAAGCTTCTTCGGATTCTTGCTTGAAGAAGTAATCGAAACTTCATGGGAAACATTTCATCCAGATATTAACCTTTACCTCTATATCCTGATAAGTTCAAAGCATCCATTTGACCCAATAAAGATAATAAATCGATTGACAATGATGTGTCACCTCTTTTATATAAGATTTTCATTTCGAGTTTGAACAATAACTGAACCGAACAGTTAGTCGGACTTGAATCGCACGCGAACGATATGAGGTGAAAACGAATGTTTTTTTTTTTTACTTTATGATCAAATATCGCAGGCAGGCATGATGGCTAATTGGTAATCATCTCGTCCGCTCTGTTATGCAATCAAGTTTCATACATAGTCTGGTAGTAGAGAGGTTGAGACCAGCATCGCAATACACAGTCTTCGACTCCTTTAACGTTTCAGGTTGAATTGTGAAGATTTTCGTAAAGTATTTCATTTGTATGTATATATATATATATATATATGTAAACTATTTAAAGGATTATAAATTCATTTCATTTCTTATGAATGTATGTATGTGCGTATGAATATACCTAATTAGATTGAAAAGCGTTAGAAGTGTTACGAAGCGTACATTTTACATTTTAATTGGCATTTTAAGCGAATCCGAGTAATGTAACAATCCTGAGCACACATGGATGAATTTCTTATGGGCTAAGATATATGTGTGTTTGTGCATGTGTGCTTATACAAATGTGCATAATATTGTTCAGTTTGCTTGCGCAAACACTATTATTAAAGTGAATATACATATGTGCATGAATTTGAAATTTGTAAATTTAAAGAACAGTGTACATAAAAATTCGAAAGACGACGAACGAAACAATATGTTAACAAAAGGAACAGATTTTCGTATCGAAGAGTCTCGAGAGTATTGTTAATCGATAAGTAGCACTTCCGATTTATAAAATTTGTAATGTGTGCATGTGTGCACTTCTCTAGGTGTTGTTATCGGAACAACGATGCCCATGACCTCTTTACGCTAATTACAAATCTATCCGGTGTGGATGTGGATGTGAATGCGTAATCATATGACTGAAATCAAAAAAAGTACGGATTTAATCCAATTCTTGACAACATGAAAAATCACAAGACAATGTTTGCTTTTTATTTGGGTTCCCTTTATACATGCATATATATATATATATATATATATCTTTTTTCCGTTAAATACCGTAATAAATTTGTGCTTTGCATCCGTATCTTGGAAGTATTGCAGATATTCGCATACATACATCGCTATACAAACTTAAATGCTTGGCATGTCTCTGATAATGCAAAACATTTTTTGTTTTTTTTTTTTTTTTGTTTGTTTTCTGTTTGGAATTTTATGCCGAACATTGGAGATTTTCCAAAAATGATTATAAGCCTTGAAAGGTCATTTTTCGAATTGCCCTAAAGGCAATTTTAATGTTCGTTTGTGTACCATCGACACATACTTACATGCATTTGTTTTTGTAAATGTTGTTATCAAAATCTGTTCCGGTGTCTAAATGAATTTCTAATGACTCACATTTATACACAAGCATTCGTATACATATATACAAACATATCTATGTGCATTTAAACATTAACATGCCTTATATAAATTGTTATGTCATAAGCCACATACATATGCACATAAGTGGATCATCGTTTGTTTGTTTTCTTAAGTTTTGCTTAATTGATCTAATTTCATTAGGCAGACAAACACGAATGAGAAAAAAAAAATAAAGAACAACAAAAACAAAAAAAAAAAAAAGAGAAAGAGAAAAAGAAAAACCAGAAAGCCAGAGATAGCAATATAAAGCTTAATTATTTATCAAGTCGTAGCATTCGATTTCGGGGAATTAAATTAAGTGCAAACGATTTTAACGTTCCTTACATAGCCAGCAGCAATGACATTCATTCACTCACATTGTTATGGTCATTAAGGAACCACATATCAATTGTTTAAGCTTTAAAATTCAACCTTAATTCATTTCACTTCTACTACAAATAAGAGGCCAGTCAAGCTTGTAGTGGTGATTAACTTAATTGGCATACCATAGAATGATTGATAATCACGTTAAAAATAATAATGAGTTAGAAAAAGATAAACAGAATTTTCCTTTTTTTCAACTTTTAACAAAATTTGCATTGAAATATATTACGTCACATAAATGGAGTATCAAAGTCCATGAATATATATTGTGAGGGCATAAGCCGCCCATTCTCTGGGGCTGGGGTAGTTCAGCGGCCCAGGAAACACAAAAAAATTTATATTCCAAATCCTTTATACTGTTCTTTATTTTATTATTTCTTTTATTATTTATTATCCGCGGTCGCGACCTCTTTCCTCAACATCACCCAAAAACTCCCTTACCCTATTCTATTGTTAATCTATCCTTATTCTACTCTTAATCTATTCCTCTTATATCGCTACCCTATCCTTAACCTATTCTTATTCTAGCACTCCCTCCGCCCCACCAGATATGGAGAAAGTGTGACGAGGTACGACTTTGGCTCCTCACAATATATATATAGCAATTGTTTCAAGCCCGAAATGATATTAAACTTTATGCATATTCCTTACAAATCGGTTGTGATTCTATTTACCGTCGAATGGACGTTCAAGTAAAGAACCGACCTCGTAAGCCAAAAATTGAATTGAAACGTGTACGGTATGTACGGCATTGCAGTTTTAGAAAAGATTCTCGAGCGGCAATTTTTCAAAAATCAAGTCACTAAAAACTGATTGTAACGCCATTCGCGAGGCACGAGACACTCAAATGACGTGCTTAACAGCTTGATCGGGAGCCGAAAATACTATACGTAAAACGAAGATAAATTAATTGGCCGATTATCGGCTGTGCATGTAACTGTCCATCAGTTTTAAGCATTGTTTTTTGTTGTTTTTAAGTTCAATAGAAGGTACACTTGAAATACTTTAGGGGAAAGGAAGTCATTTTAATTAAACGCTAATCATTGGGCAAACACATTTCTTATACAAATCTAAATGGCTTTGGAAGAGAAAAAAATGAATAAATTAAACGATAAATTGCATCACTTCTTGCTCCCAACAAAAAAAAAAAAAAAAAAAAAAAAAAAAAAACAAGGACAAATGAAAAGAAGAAGGTCGGGGAAGGAGTAAATCGATACGTGCAGTAGGGAATATGAAAATGTTGATAAGCAAAATCTCATGAAAATTTGATGCAAACGTCGATGGCCTTAGTAAGAAGGACAAAGGGAAGAACTATTTACTTTAATTTATTTTTTTGTTTGTGAACAAAATGTCAACAAATTCGGGTCAAACTAAATATCTTGTAGGAAAAAAAACTTTGATTTACAATCAAATAAATTTGCTTTGTTTTCGTTTTTAGTTCATTGTGCTGATGTCCTCTCCTCTTGCATTATGATAAATGAATTTGAATCTGAGTCTTTTAAGGGGAAGTCAACGTTGGAATCGACATTACTTAAACATTTGTTCCATTACCTATCTCTCTTTTATTATTATTATTTCATTTGTAGATATATATATATATGTTCTCGGTACACATTGGTATTCGTGTATGTAAGTCTAGCCGAGTGCTATTTGTCAGTCATCAACATTCCAACCGGATACTAGTTCAATCATTAGACTGTGAGTGTAACCGTTTCTTTTTTTTTTCTTTTTTTGTTCTTTTGCCATTTATATAAAGTGTTTTGTGTGTGTGCGTGTGTGTATACCGTTGTCAACGGGGGAAGGAAATCCTCTTTATATTCCCCACTCCTTTCATCCGTCGTATCCTTTCGTGATTCATGTAAAGCACTTTATGATTATTCAGCAATTCGTTAGCTACTTGTTTTTCTGGTCATTCGTCACGTACTCCGTAGGCGCCATGATATGACAAACCAACTTGGAAACCATAATTCAATTTGTTTGGGTTTGCCCACGACACAGACACATACTCAATCTTTTCTATATATATATATATATATATATATATATATATATATGTAAATATATACAAAATATATATGTAGCATAAGTACGATGTTTATACGTAATTGTTGGGAATGTTTAAAAATTTTTTACTCCTATATGTTGTAAAAGTTTGCATGGAGTCATAGTTTAGAAAAGTTCCCGGGGTTTTTTCAGTAAATAAAAAACCAGCACTTTTTTCTATGACGAAAATTTTACAATTTTTGCAAGAAAACTCATTAGTTCATATGGGCAAAGAGACCAAAACAAACAAAGCCTGCCTTCACCAAACAAAAAAAAAAAAAAATCAAAAAAAAAGAAACAGAAGAATGAATAGGAGAAGGAGAAGAAGAAGCAGATGGAGAAAAAACCCTGTAAGATAGAGGAGAGAAGTAAAAAAAAAAAAAAAATCATAAGCGGAAACAAATTTTAGAATGTGGATGTGCGTGCTAGGGATATTGACATCAACAGTTGCAATTTGCTTTAGAAAATATTATTAAAACAAACTTAGTTATGTTCTGATATTCCGAGGACGGATGAAGAAGAATGAAAATAATACTGGTCTCGTGCTGTGTTCGTATCCTATTTCGTGACATCAGGGCTTGTAAAGATTAGCAAACAATTACAAAAACACATATATATGGGAAAATATTTAATTATATTTATTTATTTATTTTGTTATTTTTTTTATTTTCCTGCATAATAAATGCATTTTCGAATAATTTATTGCTTAGCAAAGTCAAGAGTATCCGTTACTGATATATGAAAGGTTGGAGAGGTTTATGGCATAAACTATTTAAAAAAAAATTTTTTTTTTTTTTTTTTTTTGTCAAAACCAACGATTCAAGAACTATTAAAAGAGAAAATAAGAAAGTTTTTGTTCGCTTAACATGATATAATAGATAAGTGAATGCTATGCTATCTCTTTAAATTTCAGCAGATTGTCGTGATATGCTTATGACAATTGCAACGCATATCTTTCTAATTCAATTAAACCAGTTTTTGTTTTTGTCAATTGAAATGCATTACAGGCAAACCGGTTTCATGGATGATGATTTCGCCATCGGTGACACCGAGAAAAATGAGCATCGGTTCTAACAATCCAGCCATGCGTTTGTACAAGTTCGATACGGATTCTGGTCAGGTCAGTAGTGTGAAACCCTTATCGTTTATATATACGCATATATGTTTGTATGTGCAAATGGAGAAGAAGATACGGAACGCAAAAAAAAAAAAAAAAATCAAAAAAGTTTGTGTGAGAGAGACAAAGAGAGAGAGAGAGAGAGAGAGAGAAAGTGATGCCGTAAAAGAACTTGTCGATTATTTGTTTACAAGCCACATAAGTGCATGCATATAGGCATGCCTGTGAGTATGTGTGTATGTATATAACTATGCTTGAGTATGAGTATGTGAATTCGCATCAGAGTTCGAAATTTCAAAGCATATTTACTTTATATCAACACAATTTGAAATTCTCTTGGATACAATTACAAATGACACAAGCATTTATACATGAACGCTTACCTACTTATTTACTTATATACCTATCTGTATAGCAGAAAAGAGGCAGAGAGCGCCGTTAATATGGATCGTATGTGCATCTGACCGACCGTTCGAATCTACTCGTGCATGCACACTTATGTAAATACTTTTACACAGTAAAACCACTTTAATAGTATTATAAAGTTTTTAACAGAAAATGTAAGTCAAACTCGGATTTTCTTGCATAAATACGTTTATACACAAACACACATTTTTCATGAATATATATATATAGACGACTAGAGTATCGCCCTTACAATGAGGCATATCAGTCTGTAACGTCTGTTGTAGACCAGGCGTCCGGCACGGTGGATGTACGCATATTGCCTTTAAATGCAACACTGATGTGACACTTTCTTCTCCTTCTCCTTCTCCTTCTCTTTCTCTCTCTTTCTCTGTGTGTGTGTGTGTGTGTGTGTGTGTGCAGTTGTTTAACTTACAATAATTACAAAGGACAAAGAATAGATATGCATGCATATCTGTACACATGCATACATGCAATGATACATGTAGGCGCTGTCGTGTAGTTATAGTAGGTATCAAAAACTTTTACTTCTATCGCTAGACTGCTGATGCCAGAGACCATTCCATATAACAATACTCATTTGATTTATCGATTCCTTTTGTTATGCTTTCATGTTTAGTGTCACTGCAATACACGCACAAGCACATACACATTTACGCAAACGCATAGTTTGCACATATAGGCACCTACACACACACACATATATATATATATATATATATGTGCACACATTTGCATACATGCACAAATTCGCACACACACACACATGCACATACGCATATCGTTTATACATATACACTTTCTCACTCTCTCTCTCTCTCTCCTTTTCTCTCTCCCTATCTATCTACCTATCTATCTATCTATCTATCTCTCCTTCATTTTCATTCTTTTTATACGTTTAACTTGATGGCATATAAAAACAATTCATTTTTCGTTATTTGATTTTCTGCAGTTTAATTTCACATTTCCACACATTTGCATTAAATGAAAAAAGGGGATAAAAAGATATATTCATACGTCCCATGTGCCTAAAAAATTCAGTGCCAAACAGAAATACACAGTTACGTGTGCACATACTATACACTGGCACTACTATACGTATGATGTGAGACATGTTGTATTAAATGTGAAAATGGTCATGTGTGCATGTTTGAAAACCCATACTTCATATTTATTGCATTTCATGCATGGTAACGTTTTAAATTTAAAATTAAAGACATCTTCAATACATGTGATTACACAAATTTTTTTTTTTTATTTCTCTCCTTTACGAGAAACGACCGAGCAATCACATTTAACAAAACATTATTTTAAGCTCAGGCAAAGGCCGTTAGTTGTTTGCTCACATATCACATAAGCATTTTTATAACACGCGTAGCAGCTTGTTTAACACTTTTCTTCGCCCGGCCGTTAAATTCTATCGAAGCTAACAAAGAGAACTTGGACTCATATATATTTCCTGAGGATAGGCCAAACATATTATTTTTGTTTGAATCGCCGATTGATTATGATAGTGATAAAGTCACTATTACTATGGGCTTTTAAATTCAAATAATTAATAGTCTGTAGCCGATGTATTAAACATATTCGTTTCCTTTATTTATTTATTTTTTTCTTTTTTAGGTGTTGGACTATACACAATATTATACGGACTTAAGTGCGGCAAACACAAATGTCGAGCCTAACTGGGTACCCGAATATAACTTGACACATTACTACGCTCTGACTGACATTTCTGCAATTTCGTTGCATAATTTCGTCGATCGTTTTACGAGCGGCGATGAAAGCTGGTTTCTTAAGTAAGTATTATTTCATGAAATTGTTTGTTTGTTTTTTTTTTTTTTCTTTTTTATACACATAAGTACATTGAGGTTATGAGCATTCAGAACATATGAATGCACACATATATGCAATTTAAATCAAAAATTCCGAATCAAAGCTAGGGGCCGTAAGCAAACTTTAATATTAATTGTGAATATTTACTGAAAAACTATTGCAAAAAACATAAGCTTCCGCGTGAATATCAGCGCTAACAAATTTTTAATTATTACGTCATAATTTGTGCTAAGGATATATACATATATATATATATATATATTAAGTAAGTGCGAAGGTATGCATTAATTAGAAAAACGTAAAATAAGTTTAAGTTTAAGTAACATCAAGTTTTATTGGTAGCCTGCCTAGACATTTATCTCTTTCTCTCTCT